ATCCCCACCTGGCTATGTTCAAAGCCCTTTTTCAGTTATTTTGGGGGCGGGATCGGTTTCAGAAAGGTACCATCTGCTGCCGCCTCTCACCAATTCCATGTCGCATTCAGTCATGGTTGCAAAACAACTTGTTACTTTTTCAATCCGACCCACGCTTCACATTAACGGTGCTTAAATGAGTTTCAACTTTATACCTAGTCTGTCTCACAGTCCCTGAACCACATTATTTCCCTACTGCCAAGCCCTCTCTGCAGTGCTAAAGCCCTAAACGAAGCAAGTCTAGATTTCCCCAGGTTCAGGTTCTGAATCTCTGGTCTCCCTAGGGCTCCTTTTCAATATAAATGGGCTTGTTTGTTACTATCAAAGTTATATATATTCAGAGACTAAGCCTTAGTCTACTTTATACCACACACCTTCCTTTCCGCTGCTTCCTTTTCGCTGCTTCGACCTGTAAATGATTGCTGTTGTCTCAAATGCATTAAACACACTGTAAATATTAACGTTGATATATTTACTTCCTTGACTCGGGGAATCCATAAAAGTTCCATAAAGTCTGTGCTTAATGTGATATTCCTCCAACGTGCTAGCGATACTTGCTTAGTGTGGAACTGATTTAATAACCTCGGCCTCAATACGGCGCCTTGCCTCCGACCCGAGACGGTATGCTAATTTGACAAGAAAGAAACCCTTGTGGCTGGGATACCTCAGCCCGTGCCTCAGTCTCTCTGTCGCTCATTCCGTCACTCACCCCAAGGTAGGTCAGTACGTGGTCACGATGGATCACAATGTGTCAATGTTATGGAGTACAAGGATATGTGTGTTTCATATACTAAGGAAGCGATGGTTTTTATAACTGTTTTCCAAACTATGGATAAAATGTTATCATTCCATGAAAAGGATCCGTGGCATATACAATTTGGGGAATTTCACTTCTGGCAGAAGATACAAATCGTCTACAGTACGTACAGTCTGTCGGTGGCGGTGGGGTGGCCTAGTGGTTAAAGCGTTGGCTTGTCACGCCGAAGATCCGGGTTCGATTCCCCACATGAATACAATGTGTGAAGTCCATTTCTGGTGTCCCCCGCCGTGATATTGGTGGAATATTGCGAAAAGCGGCGTAAAATCATACTCACTCGCTAAAGTAAAATCTAAATGTGAATGTGATGTGCATTGGTTTGTTTTATTTCTGAAGCTAGCTATTCATGTGAATAATGACGATCATTATCACTCCATGGAGGTCAGGATTTGACTGGGTTTACATAGTGATATGCCTCCGGTAGTGAGAATATATATACCACGATGCTATTTTTGCGTGACAAGCCCCCGACAAGCCTCTTTCCGATCTCATTTTAATTAAATTTCGCAGAGAGGTGTCGAATTGGAGTGAAACGTGTGGTTTCAAAGAATTCGTGCAAGACGGCCTAGTTTCAGAAAGTGGGTGAGTGAGTGAGTTTGATTTTACGCCGCTTTTAGCAATATTCCAGCAATATCACGGCGGGGGACACCAGAAATGGGCTTCACATATTTTGCCCATGTGGGGAATCGAACCCGGGTCTTCGGCGTGACGAGCTAACGCTTTAACCACTAGGCTACCCCACCGCCCAGTTTCAGAAAGCATCCGTAACGCTACTTGCATGTCTTTGCTCCGTCATAGTATAACGCAGTCGGATATATAGTATACTGTTATCTGATAGCAACGATTGTTGTAAGTAAACTTGTAGTAAGGTCACTGTGCGTGGAATTTAAAGCTATCTCCCCTGTTTGTTGACAACCATTCCAAGGACTGGGCCTTCCGGATCATTCGTGACCAACTCGTGTTATTCCGGGACAAGTCTTCTTGGAGGTTACGGAAGGGGCGAGTGGTGACGAATGTCTTCCAGATGTTCGGGAAGGAACAGTTTCCGGGGACGTATATAGATCTACCTACGATCAGACTTTTCGGGCAATCTACTTTCAAAGTGCAGACTGAATTTGTCTCTGAATCTGAAAAGTCAAAACAACGAATTTCTCACAGCTTCCAATCCCTTTCTGAAGTCGGGCCAAAACATCTGGACATTCGTCCTAAATCAAAGTGGGTACTTATTGCTGCCACACCATTGGACCAATCATTGTGTTGACCTGTTTCGTTGAGAAAAATATGTTTTGATTACTCGTTGAACTACTGTGGTCATTTTCAAGTTCAGTTTGAAAATCATCTCCTCACTATATATAGTGATCATATAAAATCATTGTCGTACTCTTATAAATGGACAAAATTCATTTGTTGTATATTTTTATATGGTGTTTGGGGTCGGTCATTCGATGAATACACACTGTCATTGAGAAAGTGGTCAAATGTAACATATGTACTATTTGGGATTGCACTTGTTTTGGTAAAGTACAGATTCTAGTACTTTTGTTGGGTTGAGTCCGGGATTCGAACCCAGACCCTCCGAGTAGGACACCTAATCGCAAACACAAAAAGTCGGCCACCTAATCCACTCAACCACCTTCCAGTCGCAGGGCGAATTGGGCGCCGAAGCTTCGCGACGATGATGACGACGACGCGTGGTAATGACGACAAAGTTAATGATGACGACAAAGATGATTATGATGACGAAGCTGACGATGACATGCTAAAACACAGATGATGATGACAAGCTAACGTCAGAGATAATGATGATGAAAATGATGATGACGAATGATGATGATGATGATGATGATGATGATGACGACGACGACGATGACTTATGCTAACGTCAGAGATGATGATGATGATGATGATGATGATGATGATGCATCGCCAACGTTACTATATAAAATGATATTCATATCGTTATCCTAGCATGTAAAACCCATTCACTTATAAAAAATATCACACATGCTTTAAGACTTTCACCATTACGCACGGTATCATGACCCTGTCGGAAATAACAATTATACGGTTACGTTTCTGACATGTGACGTGTGTGGGGCTTACTGCTTGCGCCGGACATCGTGGTGTGAGATCGGACGCAGTTTGACACAATCAATGATCAGTATCGCCACTCTCCTTGTAAACTGTTAGAAGGTCATGTTCGCTGTTTCAGGCTCACACTCAACTCATGGTATGACGAAGTTAGACATTGAGACAATGACGTTCGCCTCGGCAGGACAAACATGTACACGATTGTTTTTTTAGTTGTTGTTTAACGCCACACTCAGCAATATTCCAGCGGTCTGTAAATAATCGAGTCTGGACCAGACAATCCAATAATCAACAGCATCGAACTACGCAAGTAGGGTACGATGACATGTGTGAACCAAATCAGCGAGAGTCTGACCACCCGATCCCGTTAGTCGCCTTTTATGACAAGCATGGGTTATTGAAGACCAGTTCTAAACCGGATCTTCATGTGTCTGGTGGTTTCTGAGATGCTTACAGACAATGCCGACCACAGTCTGAGTTCACGTGACCTTCAGGATCAATGGAATCGCGACAATGCGACAAATGGGCGAAATGTCGCATTGTCGCAATGTCGCGTGTCGCGTTTTGGTTAATTTTGCCTCTTTTGCTTGTTCTTGAGAGGGCGACAATGCGACAACGCGACAATGTCCCTTCTCGGATTCCATACTAATGTAAGAGTAGACTAACAACTAGTCTCTGAAATGAACATATTTTACATAAAAAACCCAGTTCATAATAATAAAAAAATATAATGAAAAGGAGCCCTGAGACTTTCTTCAATTTCAGAAACTGTGGAAATCTAGACTTGCCACACATTCTAGACTTGCATGGGCTTTATTGGATAAATGTATATATGTTTCAGGGTCTGTATGACAGACTAATGTGAGATCATCTGTCCTGAGTAGTGACAGTGAAACAGATTTCGCTGATTGTCCTTTGGATTTAAGACAAGGTTGTATTTTAACTCCCATCTTATTTTCATAATTCAATAATAAATAATATAATAATATAATATATTATACTTCGATCCCCGGCCGCGTCATACCAAAAGACGTTAACATATGGTACTTGTTGGTCCCTGCCTGGCGTTCGGCATTAAAGGGTATAAGAAGGACTGGTCGGCTCGGAGTCAGTATAATGTGTCTTAGTGGGGTATTCATGCTTCACTGCGGCATGGTATCTCAGTGGGCTAGCATTTATAAAACCAGCTTAAGTCTGGGCTAGTACAAGCAGCCCCACATACACACGCATGCATGCACGTCGTCATATGAGCGAAATATTACGACGTTAACCCCCATTTCGCTTCACTTCATTTCAAAAGCTCAGATTTCCGTCTGTTTTTGTGAGGTTTTGTATCACAAGAACACAATATCCAGCATGTCTCATTGAACTACGTAATCTCCCGAGCACAGTTGTCGTCTTGACTTTGAGATGTCTGTTCAGAGAATTGCATCCATGGATTGCGCTGACGCACCGACGTCATGGTGTCTTCACATTGGGTCGATAAGCCAATTGTTCTGAGCATACTTGCACAGACGGTCTTGTCGCCAGCACGACTACCGTAGGTCCATGCTTGAGTTACCATTGTCGTAGCGCTAAGATCGATTTGTGCCTTTGACTTTGTGTCGACAAACCCCTTTTCAAACGTTCCTCTAGTGTCTTCCCAGTGTGATCGGTCAGGTGTTTAGCTCGTCTTGGCTGAACAAACTCAACGCTAACGCATACCTTGACAATGGTAATTTTGTTTTACACTGGCGATGTTGTTTTAAAGGACGAGTAATTGTGTCAAATGTACAGGTACGATTTCGATTTGAAGAACAATAATCTTCGCGTTTGTAATAACTTGTACTATAACAATGTCGAATAGTCAATATATAAGTTCAAAGAAAAACATGATAATATATGTAATAACATGAACTGGATTCTCTGGGGTTGGGCATTGAGGTGTTTGGGGATTCCTGCGGTGACCTATGCCGACCATGATGGCGTTGATGGTGATGTTGTTGATGATGATGATGATGATGATGATGATGATAAGCCTAGTACATGTTTTCACGTTTTGCTTCGCTTTCAGCATGAGAGATCATAGCGGGACGGAAGTAGGTGAAGGGGGAGCAGACCAAGCTGAAGGCAAAATGGGTAAATACACTCGTGAAAGAAACTGAGTTTGTTAGTTTGGTTTTACGCCGTTTTAGCAATATTCCAGCAATATCATGGCGGGGGCACCAGAAATGGGCTTCACACATTGTACCCATGTTGGGAATCGAACCCGGGTCTTCGGCCTGACCAGCGAACGCTTTAACCAAAGAGCTACCCCACCACCCCTGAAAAAACCTGAAAGGACGTTACTCAGTACAAAACTGACCCATGAAGATCCGGGTTAGAATTGATCTTCAGCAACCCATGCTTGTCGTCAGAGGCGACTAATGGGATCAGGTGGTCAAACTCGCTGACCTGGTTGACACATGTCATCGTATCCCAACTGTTCGATGCTCATTCTGTTGATCACTCACTACATGGTCTGGTACAGGCTCGATTATTTACAGACCGTCACCATAAAGCTGGAATATTGCTGATTGTTGAAGAACAAACAAACAAAATCGTACAAAACTCCACAGTTTGGAAGTGTATGCGGGCCAGTGTGCTTAGCAAAATTCGCTCTCGGAACCGAGTGGCTGAGTGAGTGAGTGAGTATGGTTTTACGGCGCTTTTAGCAATATTCCAGCAATATCACGGTGGGGGACACCAGAAATAGGCTTCACACGTTGTACCCATGTGGGAAATCGAACCCGGGTCTTCGGCATGACGAGCGAACGCTTTAACCACTATAGTTTGGCATGAAATGCATGTGGACCCGGTTTTTGTAAATATCTCTTCATCCAGTGACCTGAACCGATATCAAACTGTGCAAGTGGATGTTTTGTCAGACAACCTAATCACATCACTGTAAATCACCGATTTTATGCATTTGTATTAAAGAATCTGTTCTATGTAACTGTCAACAAAATAAAACAGCAGAACGCAGACGATTTAGAAGGAGGGAGCCAATGACCTGTAACAGCGGCAGTGGTGGGTCATAAAGGTAAAATGCATGCAGTTCATGATAGTTACCTGTGCACTGCACAGTGATAGACTGTTTGGATCTTTCACATTGACTACTTCTAGCTGTCATCATGAAAGCTTTATTCAGATGATGCTAAACGTTTAATGAGAAATGTGTTGATTTTTTTTAAAAGAGAACAAACGTAGCAAACCGATTTATAAGGTGTCGGATTACATGAAACGTACAACTTTTGCTCTTGGCATGAAAAAGAACATCGTGCTAACAATTGTGACAAATAAACCAACAAACAAAACCTTGTACAAAAGGTGGTGGCATCCAAAGTTAGATTCTTTGACATCAGGGTCATCAGAGATGTCATCTTATTTGCTATAAATGAACACCTCTTCATACCACGTGCATAGCTGACCTACATTGACGAACGTTGACCTTTATGACCCAACACTGCCGCTGTTACAGGTCATTGGCTCGGCTACCCCACCGCCCCAAGCAACGAGAGAAACAAACAGTCGGGAAAGCGTGAGTGAGGGTGCCGGTCTCTTCAGACACCGGTAGGACCAAACTGAGCGCGGGAAGCAGTGAATTTGGGGAATTGAAGTAAACCTGTTCCACGGAGGCTCATTGTTTGCTTGTTTGTTTGTTGTGGGTTGCTGAAGACCAAAGCTCGCGGGTCTCCACGGAGACCATATCACCGTGTCCTACTGGGGACAAATACAATACACAACACAATCATTTTCTGGGTATGACATTCTCTTTAAAAAGAAACAACAACTGTTTGTGTCATATTTGATCTTTATCTTAAAATTCCCGATAAGATGTTATTTGTTCAGTTTCAGTTTGTTTAAACCCTGAAATTCCTGTTTTAGTGAGAAATTTTACCGCAACCTACAATTGTTGCGACCACCACGTGGCCTACGATGTTCAAGGGAGATGGCATGGTTAACACATCAGTATATATAGGATGTTATCGCATAACAGTCAAAAACAGTAGATAGCAGCAAAACAGGAAATGAACTGAAACCAGTATTGTTCATATTGTTTTAAACATGCCTGTGGTGATTAAACATTTTGTGCTATATTGCTTAATTTGTTAACCATTTAATGAAGACGATACTGTGATGTTTCTGAGTAGAATCCTCGCACGTTTTCTTGTAAAACAAGGAGCGACGGGATAGCCTAGTGGTTAAAGCGTTCGCTGGTCAGGTCGAAGACCCGGGTTCGATTCCCCTCATGGGTACAATGAGTGAAGCCCATTTCTGGTGTCCCCCGCAGTGATATTGTTTGAATATTGCTAAAGCGGCGTAAAACTAAACTCACCCACTTACATTCTTGTAAAACCTGCCTCACTTTGAGGTTCCTCGCCACATGTTGTGATATTGCTCAATCTGTTCAAGCGGTTTGAAAAAACCCCCACTCACTTACCTACTCATTTGTATCTAAACGACTTATTTAAGTCGAGATTTACCAGTCGCTTCTTTTTCTGTCTCCAAGACTCAAATGGAATTCAAATGGAAAACCAAGACGGATATTAAGAATTGTCCATGGTTTTACAGTGGACTCTGTCAATACCGGCATCACTCGGGACTTAATCAAAATGCCGGTTTTGACAGAGTGCCGGTTTAGGCAGGTTGCAAGTTCGCTTATGACGCCGGCGCTCACGGAAAGTTCACTGTCGTACTGTCACTTTTGCATTAACAACATGTTTGAATAAGAAACAAGGCAGTGCCTGAATGCACATTCATGTTTATTCATTCAAATAAAAATGTCTGAAAATACATTATTAAATTTCAATTGATCATATATTATCGGTAGAATTAAAATTATAAACTATTTTTCGCAATGTTATTGAAAACAACGATTCTCGGACACATGCTTCGGCAGCGGGTCCACAATAACATTGACAAAGAGCAAAGTAACGATGTTTCGAGGAAATCATTAAATAAATTGAATGATATTAACTTCCCAAGTGAGTAGACTGATGCCCATGATCACTGGATTGTCTGGTCCACATTCGATTAATTACAGACCGCCGCCATATAGCTGGAATATTGCTGAGTGAGGCGGTTGAGTCGAATTGGCCAGGCTACTAAATGCCCCCGCATATTTTGTTAAAATTCCTATTCATAGCATAGTGAGTGAGTGAGTTTAGTTTTACGCCGCTTTTAGCAATATTCCAGCAATATCACGGCGGGGAACACCAGATATGGGCTTGGCTAATATACATAGCGTTCACTGACATGAACGCTATGTATCTTAGCTAATATGGGCTTTACATGGGTACTTTTGTTTTCGGCGTGACGAGCGAAGGCTTTAACCACTAGGCTAACACCACCACCCCACCCCACCCCACACACACACACAAACACACACCACCACCAGACAAGGGGGTAAATAAATATATAAATATTAATGTACAGATATGTGAAGTGTTTGTAGTTTAAAAAAAATTCATCATCCAATACACTTTTTGCAACTACGGACGACTTTACAAAACGATAATATTACATTTTCACAGATCGTACAGGGAAAAAAATAACAATACTGCGCAGTTATATCTGTACCTGTTTTATTACTGTTCAAAATATCCATCCTTGATATTTCAGAATCGCGTGTAAAATATACGGAAATCCCCGAACATTAGCGAAGGATAACTTGAGCCACACTTCCTGTGTGCAGGAGTTGTCAGACACAAAACACACGTTGACCTTTTTCTTTGATCTGACACTTCGCTTGATTGCAATTGCGGTGATGTCATTCTCTTGACAAGGTTCATTCTCTCTTTCCTTTTCCAGAAGAAAACAGCAGTAATTTTGTCATCATGTCGTCTGCTTCAGGAGATTCGGCGTCTCTGTTACAGCGACTGTTTTCTGCTGTTTTCTACGGAGTCGCTTCCTTTCTCATCATCGTTGTAAACAAGATAATCCTGACAACGTTCAGGTATGTGGTTGGTTCCATTGGATGCCAGAGCTACAGATAACTTTTTGGGTCATTGAGTTATGTACACGCTTGTGTTCATCTCAATTGGGTATCCTAATTTTCCTTTGAGTAACCAAATGATATTGTACTCATCTCACTCAAGACTCAGTTGGGTATTTTGCCATTTTCCATTCCAAGATACAATAAAGTTTAATGTTAGTGTTTGTTATATATATTTGATCTGTAATATGAGAAACAATAAGAAAGACCGCAAGTTGCCAAGTTCATGTCCTGAAATAGAATCTCTCAATATACTTCAGTTACTTTATTTATCCACCGGTATCAAGCTGTATTTCACAGTATTGTGTGTACACGTGTAAGATCACATTTATTGAGTATTTACAAAACGTCAAGCGTACTTGTACGCAATAGCCTTTATAGGAACTGAGTTTTCACATAAATATTTGCGTAATTTACGCAGGTACGCAGCTTATCTGTACCTCTGGGATGCGTCATCTGTAACTGGATATCTTATATTTTTATGCTTTTTAATGTAAGAACGTGAATGTGTGTGTATGTTTGTTTATGTGTATGTGTGCGCTTATAAATGTGTATGTTTGTGTGTGTGCATGTGTTAGTGTGATTTTATTATCAATGTTTTTATAACTGATATTTGTGTCATATGGCCGGATGCTGTTCCTAAAGCCCTTGTCTTTTAAATGTCTTTTTCTGTAATTCGGCCTGTGACACAGGAATAAACTATATTTCTTCTTCTTCTTGTCTGTAACTTATATTATAAGGTGGTTAGGGACCGTTCATAATATATGGCTAGGGTGGGGGTGATGATAATTTTTAAGGGGGGTCACCCATTTTGTTCTGGAGAGGTAGGGAGGTCATCAATTTTGTACACATGCACTGGGGGGGGGGGGGTGGGGTCCTGCAATTTTGTAAATAAAAATATTTTAAAATTATGCTTTAAAAATATGGGAGAGGGGGTAATTGAGTTTGTGCATGACTTGCAGGGGGGGTCACTTGCTTTGTACATACATTTTTGGGGGGGGTCACTCACATTGTACATGCCTCTCTATAAAAATCATCTTCACCCCCCTAGCCATAAATTATGAACGGTCCCTTATTATTGCTACTTATCGTCAGGATTTATACACAAGCCAAGAGCCATTAGAGGTCCTAACAGTCGAGACATGGTCCTGAGACTGAGACTGAGTTTTGTTGATAGCAGTTATTTCATCATCCTCGATTATCTCCAGCTTATACGTTACGATAACTCTCCACTATACCCAGCTGGATGCATCCATGGCTTGGCCCAATGATTTTATTACCTATATTTCAATGATGGAAAGTTCATTTACACCTCAGCACTGTTTACTTGGGTATTTACAATGCTAGTTGACCATATAAGCTACATACCAAATGTTTTATGTGGTAGTGACATTCGACATGAGCAAAAGCCAGGGCCGTCATGTCAATTTCAAACTGGGTACTTTTACTAAAACTCATTGACAATGAAATTGGTTCTATTCTGGACAAATTCATGTAATTATTTTGTGTGTAAATAGTCCTACAAAATTGTAAAGAAGCAGTTGATCAAATATATCCAAAGCTTTTCGGATGGCAGTGCTCACTTGGGCAGTAAGGATTGGTGTTGTGTCAGACAGACATTGTAAACTCTTGAATGATGGTTTGTATTTAGGATATAGTTATTATGTTAGTGACATAATCACTTGCCCACCCACTGCACTTTGTGTGTTTGCATGTTTTCATGTTTTAACATTTATTTTCAGATTCCCTTCATTCCAGGCACTAGCTATTGGACAGGTAGGTGGAAGCAAATGATTTGTGTTGTATTTTATTTTAAAGTAGTGAAACTGAGTCCTAGGAATTTTCTTCCCATGGAGGCTATATTGGCTGACAAACTGACTCATCAAAAGATCATCAAGTTCGTTTACTCTATTGTTGATGGGGCGGTGGGGTAGCGTAGTGGTTAAAGTGTTCGCTCGTCACGCTGAGGACACAGGTTTGATTCCCCACATGGGTGCAATGTGTGAAGCCCATTTCTGGTGTCCCCCTCCATAATGTTGCTGGAATATTGCTGAAAGCGGCGTAAAACCATACTCGTTCGCTCTTTTGTTGATATACTGGTGAAGATCTGGGTTAGAACTGATCTTCAGTAACCCATGCTTGTTGTAAGAGCTGACAAACGGGATCGGTGGTCAGACTCACTGACTTGGTTGACACATGTCATCGTATCCCAATTGAGTGGATTGATGCTCATGCTGTTTATCACTGGATTGTCTGGTCCAGATTCTATTATCTACAGACCACCGCCATATAGCTGGAATATTGCTGAGTGCAGCGTAAAACTAAACTCATTCACTCACTCACTCACTCTCACATGTATGTTCTCACATGTAATGTATCACTTACCATGTATCTTGACCCATGTGAAAACAGCATAAGAAAGTGAAGGCTTGTTTGAATTGTTACCTTACATAAAGAGATCACCAGTGAAAACATGTGTTGAATATGTGGTGAAGATGCTATGAAATCATTATAAATCATAATATAGCTATGGAAACTGTAACTTTTATGATAAATCTGATCACACTGTTTTCAAATTTAAAACCAAAAACAGTTCATGTTTTTTTAAGAATGTGCTTGGTGATATATTTTCATTTGAAGGTGAAGTTCTATCAGTCTGTTTTTTCCGATGTGTTTCAGATGATGACTGGGATTGTCGTGTTGTTCATTTCAAAGAGGCTGGGGCTGATTCATTATCCAGGCCTATCAAAAGATACTGCGTTAAAGGTAGTAGTTAGGAAATAAACTCATTTGATATAAATTTCAAACTGAATATTTGAATACCATTTGACATTTTATATATTCAATATTTCAAGCCTCTAATATTATATTGCTGGGTTAAGAGCCAATCTCGCATGTCAGTCTGGAATATAATGATGACATGATAAAATGGATGAAGTCATAAGCTTCAGTGACATACGAACCTGCTTGGGTCATAGAGCGAGGTGAAAAATCAACTAAACAATGCTAAGCTGAAGTTGGTCAGATATATATTAACAATGTTTAATTCTTGAGTAATGTCCCAATGTCAGTTTGGGGAATCCTAAAAAGGAAGATGCCAAAAACACTCATATGCAATGATGGTTTCTGGGATCTAGTTTCATTTAATTTTTTTTAATAATCAGACGGGGCACTGTCATTCAATTTGCAGTGGAACTCATACATTTCATCGCTCACTCAATAACATATTTTCATCCCTCAATCAATCCATCACTCACTAGACCAAATACCATTTCATAATCATTGCAGCACTCACTCTGTGAGTTATTCCATCCATCAATTGTTCCATTCCTGAATCATTCCAACACTCACTCGATCACACCCTCCATCACTAATTCCATCCCTCTATCATTCTATCACCCAGTCACTTATTCAATCCTTCAATCATTCCATCAACCAGTCAATCACTTATTCCATTGCTCAATCACTCCATCACCCAATCAGTCATGTATTCCATCTCTGTATCTTTTCATCACCCAATCAGTCACATATTCCATGTCTTTATCATTCCTTCACTCATCCCATCAAGACCAATACTTCATCATTTCATCACTCACTCTTCTGATGATGAAGGACCTGACATGCCTGTTATGTGTTGTAGGTGTGGCCGCTGCCTCTCATCTATGTGCTGAATCTCCTCACAGGACTTGGGGGTACACAGCGGTTAAAGTTAGTTTTTCTACTGCTCTATATTATATAAACGACTGCTGAAAAAGCCATGTGTAGATCAGGGTTAGAATTGTAAGAGACGACTTGAATATAGCTAGGTGTTGCATTAAACAACCACCAAACAACTGTTTTAATAGGAAGTGGGACAAATTCTTCTGCGATTTCGTACTTGGTAGCTTGGGCTGCAACAATGACACTGAGGTGATTTCGATATGTGTCATGAATAATGGGTAATCAATATGAATCAGGGCCCCTATTCTCGAAAGGATCCTAGCCCTAGGATATCCTAACTTTGATCCTAGGGTCTAGGATAGGTGTCCTACCTTATTCTCGAAAAGTATCCTAGCGCTAGGATATCCTAACTTGGGACAAATACTAGGATAGGTTCTGACTTGTCCTAAGTCTATCCTAGTGGAAATCAACATGGTGTGGTTATTGTTTGTTCACCAATTTTGACGTTGTCAAACAAAATAACTTGCCTAAATTACATTTGAATTTACAAGAGCACACAGTTTTGATGTGTTACGAAGAGTTTTTTGAGTTTATATTATCAATTTATCGGTAATGAATAGACACACGTGTTGCGATGCACATATTCTTTAGATCTACAAAAGAGATTTGTTCAGTTCTTACCTATTCTCGGCCTTTTTGATCACAACATTGCTCTTTCCAGTCACATTGCCGTGAAATGTCAATGTCAAGGCCAACTTGATAGGGGAAGTAACTCCGATCCTGTTTATTTCCTAGGTGAATTTTTCAGTTTGTGAGATAATGCATAATGAGATTTCAAATGATGATTTTCATAAAAAACAAATACAATGAAAATAGTTTTTGCACATGTCTTTAATATCCTTATTTTTAAACTTATCCTATCTCACGACTTGCACCTCTCTCTCTTCATTCAACCATGAGTGGAAACGAATTAAAACTTTGCTCAAGACCTACCTTGTCCCTCTCCCCGTGCTGTGCATGCCTTCCTGTCTCAGTCGTGCTCACTAGTCCATGACAACACGAGGCATGCGCAGTCCTCACCCACGTGATCACCTCACATACTCCTTCTCTTTCTTGTCGCTCCACTGAGTGGACGTGAAAATATTTTCCTCTGAGATTTGCTCAAAATGGTTAAGCCTGTTCAGGCCAGTAAACGGAAGTTTTAAGCCCGTTGTAATAAAGTATTTTTCAGCATGGGACCCACACACATCGTGTGTTGATTGTGTGGGTGTTTGTGACTGGGACCTGCGCTGTCCGAAGTGTTCAGGTCTGTCTAATGAGGCGTTTAAATCTTACAAAGCGTGCTTGTGCCAGGCGTTTGGCAGATAGGGCTAGGACTAATTCTGAGGGGTCTGGTCCATCTCCCGCTAAGAAACAATGCTTAGATCGCCCCACCCTCACTGCTCACCGTTCTCAATGCGCCCGTCTAAGCCTGGCGAAGATTTTATGGGCGCCGTCGGATTCCTATTTATATGAGAACATTAGAAGGCTTTTAGGGGAGCTTCCCTCACCCAGTTTAAGTTCTCATGGCGTACCAGGGTGGTAATGACCGATATTTCTTCTCGCCAGACCTGCAATCTACATTATCTCGTAGGTCTGCTTCTTCGGAACGCTCACAGATTTCGAGAACTTCTAAGCATTCATCGTCGAAGCTGGGATGCGGCGGTTGAAACCTACCCGTTCTCCTATTTCCCACGGCTGGGAGGAGTCGTTCGAGGTCTCGTTCACTTTCGAGGCCGGCTCACCCTTGCCGAAACCGGCTCACCTTGCCTAACCGGCTCACCCTGCCACGAAGAACCGGCTCACATGGCCGAGCCTCACACAGCTCACTCACAGCCGAGCCGGCTCACCATGCTGAACCGGCTCACACAGGCGGAACCGGCTCACCGGGCGGAACCAGCTCCCTACCGCGGCCGAGCCAACTCGTTCACAGCCGAGCCGGCTCACCAGGCTCACCCTGAACCGGCTCACATGGCCGAGCCGGCTCCTGCGGCTGAACCGAACCGGCTCACCACAACATCCTCGAATGAGTTCAGTTGATCAAAAACTGATTCCGCGTAGGTCGAATGGGTTCCTCTGGCCATTACTGTTTCCGCGTGAGTCAAAAACCCGGTACATTCGGTTCACCAGGACAAACCGGTTCACATTCCCGTGAGTTCAGTCTCACCTAGTCAAAGTGGTTAAGCCATTTCCATCCGGTTCACCTAACGGCTTGGTGTCTTTAGTCAGAGGGATAATAGAAGTCGGTCTCATTCACCTCAGGTGAATCAGAATATCCCCTCTAGCCAGCCTAGTGCTAGTAGCGTCTTCACGGTCAGTACCTTTACATGATAGTACACATCAGCTTAGCGCCCGTTCTGTGCAGGGTGGTTTCACCTGCTAGGCAGCGTTAAGCTTCAGTGGATCAGCGTTCACCTTCACGCCATTCCACTTCTACTTTGCTGCGGTCACAGATTATTGCTGAGTCTTCGAATCCTGCTATTGATTCCTCTCCAGCGCCGGATTTAGATACCATGCTTCGTGCCGTTACCGCGGCTTGGAATCAGTGTCACTCGTCCTCACATGTTCAACAATCGTCTGGCATACTTAGCAATAATCATTCTGGGGATTTGAGGGATCGGACTCGATCTCAGACTACTTTCCCTTCACCTGGGCAGTCAGACATCTCCACTCCTGATGGCAGTTTTGATGTTGTTGAACCGGCTCACGTGCTAGCCTGGATAGTTGAAAAACTTCAGCTATCTCCAGATGATTTGACCACGTCTTATGCCATGACTAATAGAGATGTTGCCAGTATCACACTTCCTTTGCATCCATGTCTTCAACAATTGCCTTCTTCTCTTGACGCGGCTTTCAACAAGCTTAGAAGGACGAAGGATGGTTTGTCTGCTCCAAGGTTCCGACCATCGACGGCACATACTCATGGTGTGAAACTTTGGTCAGCGGCACCTTCAGTCGATGATGACATTTCCATGGTCTGTGGCAAGCGTTCCATTTCGCCGTATTTGGTGGAAGGCAGGGGATTGGCTCACTTAGATACTACGGTTCGCCATGCTATCCCTGCCATTAGCTGCATTATGTCAGCTGTTGACGCTGTGGCGGAGGCTGTCAATCATGCATATACAGACCAGGACGCATACATCAGGGGTAGTATGACTCTGATTTTAGACCAATTCCAGGTGGTCTTCGAGCAATTGTCTCATTTTTTTGGCTATTTACTTGCAATACGTTGAATTTCTCCTCATGGGAAGATAGATTCAAGGCTGAATTATTTCGTCAACCATGGTCGGGGGATACGGTGTTCAGTGGGGCTATTGCAGAAGTCGCATCCAAGGTGGACCGTCTTAACCAATTTCAAGTATCTGTCGATCTCTTGGAATTGCAAAAAATTCAGCTCCAAGATTCTATGCGGCATCGCCGAACCGCACAATTTACCCCTTCTAACCCAGACCTCCGGGACTGTATGAAAGGCACGGCGCCTTCTCAAGCACGTGGCAGAGGCAGGAGGCCATTTCATGGTTCCGCATCATGTCGCCCTATCGACCCGACACTGGAACTGGACATAGACAGTCCAAACAGTGACTCCGCGGAAAGTCAAAGCTTCGGATTGGTTCTGCGGATCGGTGGTTCCAGTGTTCGATTCCCCTGTAGGAGGAAGTTAGGTCTGTTTGCTCCCAACTGGGAGTTTCTGGGAGATCCATTTGTCACAATGACTCTCATTCCGCGACTATCGACTGCCTGTGGTGGGGATCCACCCTCACCATTCAACCCTTGCAGCAAATATATCCTCTGGATCGGGCTGCAGTCCTTTCGACTACAATCCAAACTCTACTGGAGAAACATGCGATAGAACACCTAGATCAGGTGTGCATAACTCCAGGATTTTACTCCCCAATTTTCTGGTGCCAAGAAAAACTCCAGCAAGTTAGCCTCATCTTCAATATGAAGACATTCAGCTTCGATTCCTGCAACAACCACCTCATTTTAGCATGGTATCAGTCAGTCTTCTCCGGCTCAATTCTGAAGAAAGGGGATTTCCTCATATCCCTCGATCTTCAAGGCGCATACCTGCACATTCCGATTCACCCAGATCGCCGGAAATATCTAAGGTTCACCTTCCGGGGCCATCACTTCCAATGGAGCGTCCTTCCATTTGGAATCTCTACGACCCGTGGCTTTTTACTTTCGGGTGACCAAACCCATCAGCAGTTTCCTACATTCTCGGGGAGTGACCTTCGAAGCTATATCGACGATTGTATTCAGGCACAACAGGATCAATCGTTCTTCAAATCCATCGGGAGTTCACCATCAGGCTGCTCAAACAGTTAGGGTGGCTCCTCAATTCTGAAGTCGGAGTTAACACCGACTTCGCAGACTTCAGTTCATAGGAGCAATCTTCGACACAGAACAAACCAAGTTGTTTGTTCCTCAGGACAGGTGGACCAAAATTCAGCGTCTGGTTCAGCTAGACTTGGATCATCCCAGAACTCTACGCCAGTGGCAGGAGTTGCTGAAGCGTCTTAACGTCAGCTCAGGCTCTGACTTACAGAGGCCAACTGCAGCTTCGCCCACTTCAGTTATTTCTGCGCCCTCATCTTCAAACCAACAACCCTCAGGTGTTGATTCGGTTACCCAGGGAACTACGTTCAATTCTGCGTTGGTGGCTCAACGTACAGAATGTTTGCGCCAGCGTCTCTTTGGTGCCCTTCAGTCCAACCCATCAGTTGTTTTTGGACGCTTCTCTAGAAGGTTGGGACGCCCACTTCCTTCAGAATCAAGTGGCAGGGCAGTGGTCGTCGACGATAATTTACCCGATCTCTCGACCGAGTGTCGACCTGTTTGCCACTCGGTTCAACTCCCAACTGCCGAGATTCGTATCTCCAATTCCAGATCCACTAGCTTGGGATCACGACGCCTTGGCCATTCCCTGGGAAGGTCTCAACGCTTATGCGTTTCCACCTCCGGCTCTACTTCACAAGGTCATTCAGAAAATTCTGTTAACCAACAAAGTACAACTGCTTTTGGTAGCGCCATTTTGGCCAGCGAGAAATTGGTTCGTCGGCCTAAAAAGTCTAGTCAGTCGAAGCAGCATTCCTCTTCCGTCGCGGGACGACCTACTAGTTCATCCGCTTTCGGCGTGTATCCGCGAGTCACCACAGGCGTTCAATCTTCACGTATGGCACATTTGCAGAAATCACTAATAACCAAGGGTTATTCTCACAGAGTGGCCTCAGCTATCACTGCAGCTCATCATACGTCTACACGTTCTTTGTATGACGATAAGTGGAAGAAATTTGAATGTTATTGTCAGGTCAGAGGGATCGCTTCCCCTACTACTGCTTCGCCCCAGGTTGTTGCGGAATTTTTACAACATTTGCGGGCTACAAGGAAACTCAAGGGTTCCACTTTAGCCACCTACCTGGCGGCTCTTAATTCGGTCCCAGCCACGACTTCTGGTACGAAGGTTTCGACAGTACCGGAACTGCTGTACTTACTTCGTTCTTTTAAGCTAGCCGACCAATCCAGGAAATTTCGTCCACCAGCTTGGGACTTATCCGTGGTCCTGCGCCACTTAGTGTCTGAGCATTATGAACCCTTACAGGACAAGGAATTTGAACAGGTTTCATTCAAGACCTTTTTTTCTTATTGCCTTGGCCACAGCGGCACGTATATCAGAACTGCATGCTCTAGATGTCAACCGTGTCCGTTTTGAACAGAGTAGACATGGCAAGGTAATTTGGGGATTGCGCTGGGATTTTGTCGCAAAGAACCAGTTGCCGGGTCAACCTGATCGTCTTTTTACAATCCCGCCTTTGTCTACCATATTGGGTCCAGCAGATGTCGAAGATCTGTCTCTTTGTCCAGTCAGAGCACTTCGCATTTACCTTAAAGCATCGCAAGAGCGCCGCCCTCTGTGTAAGAGACTATTTATACCCTTGTCTACTACTTCCAAGGCGGAAGTCTCTCGCACAACACTCTCATATTGGCTACGAGCTACAATACTACGAGCCTACACTTTTGCCGGTTTGCCGCCACCTACGGCAGTCAACCCTCATGAAACCAGGGCATTGGCTTCTACTATGGCGTTGCATAGCAACTGCTCGTTAACTGCCATAATGGAGGGTTGTTTTTGGCGATCTGACACGGTATTTTTGTCTCATTACCTCAGAGATGTGTCGGTGATGGATATTCAAGGCCTTCGTCAGTTTGGACCACTCGTCCTTGCCCAGCAGTTATCAGCGGCACAACATCGCAGATAATGAATTTCCTTGTGCTCCGATGCTATATGGATCCCACTGTGCAGTTGATCCCAAGTCGCGATCGTTTCTGCTGTGTACAATCTGAATAAATCTGAACAACTTTTTCTGATTTACGTCTTTATTTCTTCCGGGATTTAGATTTCTCCTCTCATTTGTTTGAGACTACAGAGAGTCGCCACCCCACTTACTGTCCTCTGCTCCACGGAGTAATTAAGTCAGTGAAGTGAGTCCTTCGAAGTGTTACGCTTCGTGGCGTTCATGCTCCTAAGTGCCTATACACATCTATGTGATCTTACTGTGGTAAGTAGTGGAAGTCATAAGATGATGTTGTGGTACTGAGCGTTAAAATTGTGAGTTTTACCGATTCAATTTCTCTTTCACCCTCCTCAGGGCCGGTGTCTGTGGGGGTTGTTTGAAGCAGGGCTGGCCCGATACTAGTCGTTAGACTTTTATTACGAGGGTACCTTGGAAATCGTGGCGATCGACTGCTTACACTCGTTAAGCTCGTCCTTTCACTTTGTGAAGGTAGTGACTGAACACCAGATTGCTCGGGAATCTCGGTCCCTGGGAGCAATTGTGCTTAGTAAGTCAATGGGTTCGAACTAACCCTGCGCGCGTAGTAACTTGGTAGTTATTGGCCTACATTGTAGTTGCTTCCCTACGGTTGTTTGGGCATAACACTTAGCTGTTATCGCTTGAATTTCGGGTAATCTGTGACCCACCTTCCTACCGTGGGATAAGTGCAAGTCGTGAGATAGGATAAGTTTAAAAATTTGAAGATTTTAACTATGAATTGTATATTTATATACTTATCCTATCTCACGCGATAAAGTCCCTCCCTACCTCCCCACTACATAGATTACCACCGTTCCGGTTTTGTTCTTTTATGGCTCCAAGATCGAGAATGAGTATGTGAGGTGATCACGTGGGTGAGGACTGCGCATGCCTCGTGTTGTCATGGACTAGTGAGCACGACTGAGACAGGAAGGCATGCACAGCACGGGGAGAGGGACAAGGTAGGTCTTGAGCAAAGTTTTAATTCGTTTCCACTCATGGTTGAATGAAGAGAGAGAGGTGCAAGTCGTGAGATAGGATAAGTATATAAATATACAATTTATAGTTAAAATTTTCAATTTGTATTTATGCAGACTTTCAAACTCTGAAGTAGAAATGTTATCGCCTTGTCAAAAAAAGAATTTTCAAAAACTTCAAACCTACTATATAATGTGATGAAAATATCGAATAATTTCTTCTAGATCTACTAAGTCCATCAAAAGCTGAATTTCCTCATATTATGTGTTTTTTATGAAATGAATCATGGGTAATATTTAAGGGAATCCCCAACTTAATGAGGGTTTTTTCTATCTCACCTACTGAAGAGCTCGTTATCCTAGCTAGGATAGGCAGCACAAGTTAGGACAGGGATAGGATCGTTTCGAGAATGGGTCTTATCATAACGGTAGGATGTCCTAACTTCTGTCTTAACTACTTAGGATCTGTCTTAGCTGGGCCACTTTCGAGAATAGGGGCCCAGGGGTGGAAGTAACTTTAACATTGCTAGTGTACTCCGGTACAGTCGCACATGTAAAGTCACTTGCCCTGATAATTTTTCCACTATACCGACCGTTTTCTTGCTGATTTTTTAAATAAACAACATAATCAACATTGGAAAGTCAACTGGACACCAGGGCCTAGATTTATGAAGCTCTCTTAGTGCTAAGATGGTCGTAAGTGCCAAACATTAACATTAACTTACGACTTTCTTAGCGCTAAGAGAGCAACGAAAATCTAGGCCCAGTACAGTGTGATATACAAATTTGCTTGGCCGACAGAAAAAATCACTGAACTCAGATGTTGTGTCAATGGGTTAATTGCACCCCTGTGAATATCTACTTGTGAATACAAATTCAAGTCAGAGGTTGATGATATTGACACTGTTAACTTATCACGGCATACTGCTTATAACCAAATGTTTTGGTTGACAGGATTATACATTACGCTTCAGTGTGGCTTGTATTTTGTTATTTTGCATATCATGCTTTGATGAATAAGTTGAAGTTATGTTTGTGTTGAGAACCAGGTGTTTTAACTTCTTGGCTACAAGGTGCTTGTGATTGGTGTAAATGATTACAGTAATTTAAACATTAGATTAATGTTACAGATAGTGAGAAAGTGGACCACACCCCATGTCTCTATGTTTACCATTGTCATTTCAGTTTACCCATGTTCACAGTACTAAGAAGATTTTCCATATTATTCACAATGATTGGAGAATATCTGATGTTAGGGTAAGTGTTGTTTTGTCCTGTGTTCAACAAATGGAACACATGTTCATAAGTGAATGTTATTGCATGTCAGCATTCATATAAGGGAGTTTTATAAGTACTTTGTTTACAGGTCACTGACTTCTAATTATGTAAATGTCGAATATAATAGATTTATATATTTTTCTTTCTGATAAGTCTTATGTCAGTAATGCAAAAAGCTTTCAAAGGCAAATAGAACAAGGGAAGTAACCCTGTCATGGTTCGTTTGGTAAAGATTTTTGTTTTCTGTTTGTTTCATACTTGTGTGTTTCAAGAGTATTTGTTTCACAGTTTGGTTTCATTTGGATGAAAATCTGGATGTTTTGTAGATTAGCGATGATGATGATGTTGATTTTGTTTTGTTCTCGATGATAGATACAAGGTTGCATTGACAACGAAATTGACAGTGTTGCTGATGATACTTGGAGCTGTTATAGCAGGAAGGTATGTTCTACTTGTCATTGTAGCCTATTTCATGAAATATTGCTCACGGTATCAACCACTGGTTTGTCTTGACCAGATTAATCACACACCATATTATATATGGGACTTCACTTTCTCAATAAAGTACAAATTTTAGTACTTTTAGTACCATCTGTTATTTGAGCCTACATTCAAAGTGAGGCCCCCATATCGTAAGCACACAGAGTCAGAGATTTAACCCACTCAGCCACCAAGGCTGCCACGAGAGAGAAAGTCTGACATCTGGTAGTGGTAGTCTAGACCACTTACTTGTGTACTCCGCTGACAAGTTCAAGTTATCATGGCTTTCATGTCCAAAAGCTATGAATATGCAATGCCTTTCAGAAAGTGGTCAACTGTGATGGGGTAGCCTAGTGGGTAAGGGGTTCACTCATCACACCGAAGACCCGGGTTTGATTCCCCACATAGCTACAGTGGGTGAAGCCCATTTCTGGTGTCCCCCCATATAGTGCTAGAATATTGCTAAGAGCAGTGTAAAACCATTCTCACTCACTCAGAAAGTGGTCACATGCAATATTTCCATGGGTTTTTCCTGTTTGGCCATTCCTTGGGATGCGAAATTATTTGCAAGTGCATTCAATACATTTGTGTATACTGCGAGAGTCATGTCTGTGCCAATCTAAGATCCTGTAGCAGTACTGGGGTGATGCGGGGCGGTGGGGTAGACCAGTGGTTAACCCCCCTTTTTTTCAGGTGCACATTTTCGTACGGTTTGAAAAGTGAACGTTGTGCGAGAATTGTGCTCGCGTTGTCCTGGATCTACGTAAGGCTATAAAATTACACAGAAATGTAGAATATTAAATTTCCTATCCGTTGGTATAAATATAAGTGCAACTACTTGGCGGTTTGAGAAATAGACCTTGCTAAATGTTGGCCATTTTTTTGTTATGCGTTAAAAAACAGTAAATTTATCCACTTTTTATCGTGCACCAATAAAAGCACTGTGCTACGAATTAAAATGGACTCCGTCCGTGCGTGCGTGCGTGCGTCGTGCGTCCGTCCGTCCGTGCACATATGTCTTTTCCGGAGCAGAACTCTAAAACCATTCAATATATCTTCACCAAACTTGGCACATAGATAGATCTGGTGGTGGACTGGTGCCTTTTGGTAGTTTTGGAATTCTGAATAAAATATTGTTGGCGTTTCCATGGCAACAAGTTCGACTTAGACTGAAATTGGTGGTAGTGCTCTTTTCCGGAGCAGAACTCTAAAACCGTTCAATATTTCTTCACCAAACTTGGCACATAGATAGATCTGGTGGTGTACTGGTGCCTTTTGGTAGTTTTGGAATTCTGAATAAAATATTTTTGGCATTTCCATGGCAATAAGTTAAACTTAGCCTGAAATTGTGGTAGTACTCTTTTCCGGAGCTGAACTCAAAACTGTTCACTATTTCTTTACCAAACTTGGCACATAGATAGATCTGGTGGTGTACTGGTGCCTTTTGGTAGTTTTGGAATTCTGAATAAAATATTTGTGGCGTTTCCATGGCAACAAGTTCGACTTAGACTGAAATTGTGGTAGTGCTCTTTTCCGGAGCTGAACTCTAAAACTGTCCACTATTTCTTTACCAAACTTGGCAAATAGATAGATCTGGTGGTGTACTGGTGCCTTTTGGTAGTTTTGGAATTCTGAATAAAATATTTGTGGCGTTTCCATGGCAACAAGTTCGACTTAGCCTGAAATTGTGGTAGTACTCTTTTCCGGAGCTGAACTCTAAAACTGTTCACTATTTCAAAATATACATCATAATACTGACAGTGTAATCGGAAGGATTGGGCGATTGTGTTTACTCTTGTTCAACCGACCTTCACCTCAAAGAAATTGCCTAATATGTACAACAATGATGACATTTGACATCTCTACCGTTGACCGATTTCTTACAAAATCGGGGCGGTGGGGTAGCCTAGTGGTTAAAGCGTTGGCTCGTCACGCCGAAGGCCCGGGTTCGATTCCCCACATGGGCACAATGTGTTAAGCCCATTTCTGGTGTCCCCCGCCGTGATATTGCTGGAATATTGCTAAAAGCGACGCCAAACTAAACTCAGTCAGTCAGTCAGTTTTACAAAATCGCGGCTTTGCTGACAAGGGTACACAGAATTTTGCGAGGACCCTTCCATTGATTCAGAGATCGTTTGTACATAAATATGAGATGTAAGTAATCAGAATGATTCTGACTATCTGTGTATTGTTATATGTTTTTTATCGTTTTCATAATAAGTAAGGGAAGAATACAGAAATGCAGATAATTACTTGTGTCAGTCATGGCGTCAATATGTGTCGTCTCATTTTATCTTGACAGTTGGTATTGGTGACAAAGACCAGTTGCAACTTGATTCTGAAATGTATGGGGAGTTCAGTGATGCATTTTTTGAAGCTCAATACCGACCTTCGCGAAACGTGATTTTGTAAACACTATCCAATATGGCGGACAGCGCTCTACAGCGTTCGTGTTAGTGTATATTCGAAAACATCCCAACCGATTCTAGATTCATCGGCAATGTTTCAGAATTATCATTAGCCATTTCATGTAAAACTGATATCAGTGATCATGAAAATGTTATTTTTGAAATTCAATACTCCCAGTAATTATCCGATTTTCACATTTCAAAACATACAGCAAATAACGCTGTGAATCGCGATTTCGACTGTCAAAAATGTTGACATTTTCGATGAAGCCTATATTGAAAGGTCATTTTGCAGCACTTGAGCTTTGTCTTAAATAATAGTGGATGGTATCAAGAAACAGGAAATTTCCCGCAGAATTCGAAACTGTGAAGTGTATTTGTGTGCATGATATATTTTGATTTTTATTGGACTTCAAATTGAGGGTTGAAGGGGAAGGACATATATGTCCCTGTGGCACCCAGGGGGTTAAGGCGTCTGCTCATCCCGCCAAAGACCCAGGTTCGATTCCCCACATGGGTACAGTGTGTGAAGCCCATTTCTGGTGTCCCTTGACGTGATATTGCTGGAATTGCACTCAATTTCATCCTGTTTTTCAGCACTGACCTGGCCTTTGACCTGACAGGCTATGTGATGATTCTACTCAATGATGTCTTTACAGCTTCCTATAATATATATGTGAAGAAAAAGCTGGATTCAAAGGTAGTGTGTGTTTCTAACCACGGTGCGTATTGCGTAAGGCATTCAGTGCGGTTCCATTTTGGTTCGGTATATGAGATATGATCACAATGCAGAAAATTAAGAGCCAAACCTTACGGATCTGTGTTTTGCCGAGGCAGGGGCCTCATGGTATTGTCACAGTAATTTGTTGATTGGTACATATATTAAAGTCAGTGGAAGATGGGTTTATGACATATACTTATGCATCTCAAGGAGTGTCTAAAAATACCATCTTTTGAATGTAAACATCCTAACGTTTTCTGCCTAATGCTTCTGAATTTGCTATTAGACTAACCCTTAGTCTCTGAATATATATAAAATTTTGGTAGAAACAAGTAATTCCTTTTAAATTGAAAAGGAGCCCCAGTGAGATGTTAGATTCACCTGAGGAAATCTAGACTTGCTTCATTTGGGGCTTTAGCATTCAGAAAAGGCGGGGCTGAATATGAATATAATGTGATTCAGGGATTGCCAGACAGACTAACTGAAAATCGCAAATGTTTCATTCAAAATTTTGATAAATGCAGTGTATTGGTATTTTCCAAACATAGTGAGATATGTACTCAGTAGTATTTCACATGCACCTCTAGTTAGCTATGCAAACTCTTACAGAGCGCATCAGACAGTTACCATGGTGACACATAGGAACGGTATGAAAGACAAGTGGAAAATTTCAACGAACATGGCTTCATGGCCACACATGGTTGCAGCATAATTGAGAAATACTACGACATTTCAGCTATGCATAAATCGGGTGTAATCTTATTTAATTTCAAACCATTTTAGAAGTTTGTCGAGGATAAATATAAGACACTGGATGTTGTTGCTGCTGCAATATGTCACATATGAGAGAGATTCCATGGTCCCCAGGTTCACTTTGTCAGGTTATTGACATATTGGCACAACACTGTCTTTGTCAATCTACACAATTGGGATACAATGACATATGTCAACCAAGTCATTGAGCTTGACCACCCGATCCTGTTAGACACCTCTTATGACAAGCATGGGTTACTGCAGATTAATTCTAGCCCGGATCTTCACAGGTCACTTCTTCTTATGAGAAGCATGGGTTAATGAATACCAATTCTAAACCAGATCTTCACAATTAACTACTGAATAGTATTTATGTCGGAATGTACAAATTGGTAAATGTTTACATTTCAGGAACTGGGTAAATATGGAGTGCTCTTCTACAACTCGCTCTTCATGATTTTACCTGCATTGTTGTTAGCTCAGTATAATGGAGAAATTGAGAAGGTTGGTGAATTTCATATACAGTTTTATTTTTGCATTATGACATTGGTCTAGTGATGTCTCACATTGTCAAATAAAACAAGTTATTTCTTTCATATCATTATCTACCATAATTTTGTGTCAAATCCTAAATTACCTTGACCTCAGTTATTCATTATCTGCTGAGTCTTTTAGCTTGGGGGTTAAAGCGTCCACTCGTCATGCCAAAAACCCGGGTTCTATTCCCCACATGGTTACAATGTGTGAATACGATTTCTGGTGTCCCCTACCGTGATATTGCTGGAATATTGCAAAATGCAGCAAAACACTTTGAGTGAGTGAGTTTAGTTTAGTTTTACACCGCACTCGGCAACATTCCAGCTACATGGTGGCGGTCTGTAAATAATCGAGTCTGAACCAGACAATCCCGTGATCAACAGCATCGATCTTTGCAATTGGGATTTGATGACAAGTCAGTGAGCCAGACCCCATCCCGTTAATCGCCTCTTACGACGAGCATGGGTTACTGTAGATCAATTCTAACCCGGATGTTCACGGGTACTCAGACTTTGACTTGTTTAAAAGCACAGTGATTGTAATTACCAACAAGATTTAGTATAACATTTACTGCTGGACAGCTCGTGAAGAATTAATTGAACAGATTTTATTTTTTTGTGTAATTAATGTTTTTATAGTCACTAGTCACAAGATTGAAGGACTGAATTTAAGGAACCTGATATCGATAGAACAAGGGGTATATTGACATGGAAACAATGTTAAGCAAATTAAAACCAGCACCCTGAGTCCATGAATATATCAGGCTGGTACAAGTGTCACATAAAGTGATGACATATTGCTTTAACTCAGAGCAGGTACATGTGCTCATAGTCTTGAAGCACCCATGGTTGGATGACATCATGCCGAGGAAAACAGGACAAATTACAGGGATTATTAATGTATCATGGTATGAATATTTTCAAAGATCAATTTTGTGTGCACAAGTAAGGGCTCCTCGGACACAAATTTGCATGTTTTTTTACATGTACTTGATGATCTAGACATGACCATTAGATTGCATTTTTCAATAGTAGGTTACTCTTTTGTATGCTTTATACACCTGAACCGAGCCTAGAATTGGACTACTCTTATTGTTTAGACACATGACAATGTTTATGTGGCTCTGTGATTTGGATGGTGGGGTAGCCTAGTGGTTAAAGCACTCGTCACGCCGAAGACGCCATTTTGATTCAGTACAATGTGTGAAGCCCATTTCCTACACCTCGTTATTGCTGGAATACTGCTAAGAACGGCGTAAAACTAAACTCACTGTGACGTACCTTCATGTTTCATTGCAGATCATATTGTTCGAGGAGTGGGCAAACCCTGTGTTTCTTGGCCAGTTCCTTCTATCTTGCTTCATGGGTTTTGTCCTCAACTATTCCATCATACTGTGTACTGCATACAACTCAGCTCTCACTACCACAGTTGTTGGTGTTTTAAAGGTGAGCTGTATTTCTGTCATTGATGTTGTTGGGGTATTACCATTTTAGCTTTATTCAAATTATTTTATGAAGGAGGGTGCTAAGAAATGTTTAAGTGTTCCATGTTCAGAAAGATGGATGAACATCTGAACCTGAGAAGTCCTCTTCTCTTCCTGCTCTCTGCTCTTTACTTGCTTTCTGCTTTGCATTTTTCCTTGCCAGTTCTCCATGCTGTGCACTGCTCCAGGCTCCATTCAACCACTCGCATCCATGCTTCACTCCTTCCACTCCATTCTGCTTTGCCACATACCTCCACTCCTCATGACTCCGCTTCACTACTCTCTGCTTGTCGACTCTGCTCAATTCCACTTAACTCCACCTCAGGGCGATGGGGTAGCCTAGTGGTTAAAGCATTCGCTTGTCATGCCGAGGACCTGTGTTCAATTCCCCACATGGGTACAATGTGTGAAGCCCATTTCTGGTGTCCCCCATCGTGATATTGCTGGAAATATTGATAAAAGTGGCATAAAACCAAACGCACTTACTTACTCACTCACTCAACTCCACCTCTATCTGCTCCTCCACTCTCCACTCAACTCAACTGCATCTTGTTCTGCTACACCACACCATGTTCCAAGCCACAATTCCTCTTTGCTCCTGATGACTCTGGCAATCTCTGCTCTCAACTCTACTCCATCTTGCTCAACATCACACCATGCTCCAAACCGCTAGTCCTCTTCACTCCTGCCGACTCTGCTCAGACAATCCCTGCTTTTCGACTTTCCTCTCCATCTTCTCTGCCACACCACACCATGCTCCAAACCGCTAGTCCTCTTCACTCCTGCCGACACTGCTCTTCGACTTTCCTCTCCATCTTCTCTGCCACACCACACCATGCTCCAAACCGCTAGTCCTCGTCACTCCTGCCGACTCTGCTCTTTGAATTTCCTCTCCATCTTCTCTGCCACACCACACCATGCTCCAAACCGCTAGTCCTCTTCACTCCTGCCGACACTGCTCTTCGACTTTCCTCTCCATCTTCTCTGCCACACCACACCATGCTCCAAACCGCTAGTCCTCTTCACTCCTGCCGACTCTGCTCTTCGACTTTCCTTTCCATCTTCTCTGCCACACCACACTATGCTCAAAGCTACAACTCTCTCAACTTCTCCAGACTCTGACAATCTAGGCTCCTTGTCTTTCCACTCAGCTCAGCTCCATCTTGCTTTGACACACTACAGTAAGTTCCAAGCAACAACTCCTCTCCACTTCTCCCGACTCTGACAATCTCTGCTCCTCTTTTCTCCGCTCCACTCCAACCCACCGATCCCAACCCAGTCTGTTCCCTCCCACTTCACAGAAACATCATCTTGATTCATTAACTGTTTTTCTTTTTTTCCAGAATACAACAGTGACATATGTTGGCATGTTTATTGGAGGAGATTACATATTTAGCTTATCAAATTTTGCTGGAATGAATATTAGGTGAGTATTCAAGACCACAATTCAAGAACACGGGTTCAATTCCCCACATGGGTACAATGTGTGAAGCCCATTTCTGGTGTCCTCCGCCTTGATATTGCTGTAATATTGCTAAAAGCAGCGTAAAACTCAACACACTCACTCACTGATTAATCTTGAAGTGTCTTCATCAGACCAGAAGTGATCCCATTAGTCAAGTGTTGTTGTTTACGCATAACTACATTTAGACTACTCTTATTGTGTTTGAGTTGTAAGGATCGTGTACTTTACCAACCAAACATAAAACTTTGGCAATGCTAGTGGGGTGTAACGATTTCTTGGACCTTCTAAACGGAGCAGGGTATATGTATGTTTCTATTTTTCTACATTAAACCTCAATAAATCTGTAAATGTTAATAGTGGAGAGTTATGTTATATAAACGCTATGTAAGAGTTCTATTCTGTATTTTTCAACAAATTAAAATCGTGTTATTATTAGAGCTGTGACGATATATCGTACTTTCGATAATCATGGTACTTTATCTGGTGATATATATATATCGATACTTTTTTTGTATCATGATAATATTATGTATCATTTATGTCAATATTTACACTGTTACTTGCTATCAAAATATACTTTTTTCAAAGAAAATAACTAAAGCTAGCATATCTTGATATGCATTGAATCGAATCATATCATTCAAAGATATCGTGATACATATCGTATCGTGAAATTTCTGTATCGTCACACCTCTATTTTTTAAAAACTAACTTCTTGTGTCCCCCACCGTGATATTGCTGGAATATTGCTAAAAGCGGCGTAAAACCGAACTCGCTCACTATAAACTAACTTGTTTGATCTTCATTTCAGTATAATGGGCAGTTTGCTGTACTCGTATGTGACCTTTGGACAGAAGCCTCCCAAACCCAGCAATCAGAACACAACTGACCAGAAGCCACAAATTCAACATGTTTGATATAGGGCTAAGACACCACAATCTCAGCAAATAGTTCTATCCAGAGGAGACTCAGTTTGATATACACAGTACTGTAGGGCAGCGAGTATGCTTCTGTGTGTTTGTTGAAATCCATCGAAATATCCATCTCACCATTGTAAGTATCATGATGATTATTAATGGCAAAAAAAGACAAACGATGTGGGTCCTGTTCATGACATCCATGTCCGGCTGACTCGGAAGCAGAGACTTGCAACTGTGGTGTGTCAAGGGAATTTTGGTTTGCTTTTCTGGGCCATTTATATAAGTATTAAGGCTGTTACAGTTCACTTGCATATTTAATGAATCGTAACCATATACCATATCATGAATTCAATTCATTATTTATGACCACTTGAATCGAAGATTCATGAATTTTTTTAAAAGAGTTTTTTTACATTAGTTTTGGTGTTATGTATTAAAACAATTTAAAACAAAATTTTCAAAATGGAATATATGCATGCAGTGTGGTTAGTTTGACAGTAATGTGATCAGGTCATTGCTGTGATGAACTAACACTGTCAGCATGGTAAAAACATTTGAAATCAATATTTTGTTATTATTTCACAGAATACACTGACTGAAATGTCAACTGCTGAACTGTTATCATATTCATTATCCAATATTCGTGATATTTATTGTCTTCGCCTCATGGTGGATTCGTACCATCCCTAAACCATACACTCACAGACAAATGTAACTGTGATAAATTGAATTTAATGAAGAATGAAAACTAGTAATAATTATGACAATATGTATGTCCAAAATGATGGCTTATTCTTCTTACTATACACCATAACTAACAGTATTGGAGTTGCAGGAGAACGTCATGGGATTATACATAGTATGGGAGTTGTACTCATATTAGTAGTTGTCACTGATAATTGGTACAGTATGGGAGTTGCAATCATTTTAGCACTAAGATTAAGAATGTTATAGCTTGATTATATAGCATAAGAGGTGCACTCATCTTAGGAGTAATAATGTCGTGGGACTATTACACAGTATGGGAGTCGTACTCATATTATCGTGAACTGTCATTCATTGTTTGTACATTATGGAGGTTACAATCATCTTAGTACTTAGACATTTGTGGGTCTGTTATATAGTATTGGAGTTTCAGCCATCTAAGCAGTAAGAATGTCATCAGATTATTACACAGTATGGGAGTCGTGCTAATATTAGCGTGAGCTGTCATTGATTGTTTATACATTATAGAGGTTACAATCATCTTAGTACTAAGACATTTGTGGTTCTATTATATAGTATTGGAGTTTCAGCCATCTTAGCAGTAATAATGTCATCAGATTATTACACAGTATGGGAGTCGTCATCATATTAGCATGAGCTGTCATTGATTGTATATTATGGAGGTTACAATCATCTTAGTACTAAGACATTTGTGGGTCTATTATATAGTATTGGAGTTTCAGCCATCTTAGCGGTAAGAATGTCATCAGATTATTACACAGTATGGGAGTCGTACTCATATTATCGTGAACTGTCATTCATTGTTTGTACATTATGGAGGTTACTATCATCTTAGTACTAAGACATTTGTGGGTCTATTATATAGTATTGGAGTTTCAGCCATCTTAGCGGTAAGAATGTCATCAGATTATTACACAGTATGGGAGTCGTACTCATATTAGCGCGAACTGTCAATGGTCTGTTGTGTTTCAATCAAAAAGACTGCCGTGGGTCTGTTATACAGCACTGGAGCTACGATTATCTTAAGACTGAGATTACCTTGTAGAACAGGTCCCAATACACTTTTAAGAGGAGTTGTTTCTAAAAGGTCATTCTATTGTAATAACCTAATCATCACTTTTGTTATGGTTGTACTTGTTGTGAAGAGGAGTTACAACGTTGCACATCCCAGAGAAACGTACAAAATGAATACCCTTTTGTGATCTTAGAGTTTTGTAATGTATTGTAGGTTATATTAATAATAATAAGAGTATTTGTATAGCACTGACTTCCACCACACATTTGCAATGCTCAAAGCGCTGACAAGTCACAGTTCATTATTACTCCAGATAACCCAAGCTGCCTGTGAAGGCTAGAAGGTTATAGTCACATGACTTATCCCACTGGGTACCCATTTTATGCTGGGTGAACAGAGGCAATTTTGACCGAACTCACTTGCCTAAGGTGAGACCACATGTATCACATGTGGTTCGTTGTGGGGCAGGACTGAAGTCCTAGAAACTCTCGGGAGTCAAGCTACCAAATACAGTCACCCATCCAAGGACTCTCTGCGCCCAACGTTGCTCAACTTCAACTGATTTGTGACCTGAGCTCTATGCTTACATGCTTAAGGAGCAACATACTTATTATTTGTTGTTAAACACTACACTCAGCAATATTCCAGCAACAGGCGAAGGTAGTAGTTAAGTAATCAAATCGACCTGACAAACCAGTGACTGATGTTATGAGCAAGCCTTGCCATTAACCCAATCACCAAGCCTAACCACCCACTTCACAGACTTGACTTGAAAGACAAGCATAGGCTCTTGGAGACAGACACTAACTTGGAACCTCTTGGGGTAATTCTACCATATCTCCAGGGATGGCAATTTTCCCCAGATTTCCGCAGATTTTATTTCAAATTGTTCAATTGTGAATCGTCTAAATCCATTGAGAAACCCCCATTTGATGACACAATATTAAGTTTTCCGCTGAAAATAGATTTTCCTGTTGCCATCCCTGTATCTCAGTACAAGCATTTCAAAGTACATGGGTCAGATTTGCCTGTAGGCCATGTGTAAGAAAACAACAACATCAAGTATATTTTGTTAACAAGCAATTACTGGCGATACTTAGTGTGGGAACATAGGTTTCAATAAATGTAATTTTTGTCAGTCGCCACTGAGCATAGAGTTATTATGTGTGAAGGGATGTCGTTAAGCACATTGGTTCAGTCTCATGTGCAATGTTGTGTATACTCAATGGGATTTGTATGCACATCAACAGTGAATAAGAACAACTGACTACCCGCATAGGTACTCATAACATGTTTATCTTCTTTTATTAGCTAATGAAATGAAGTTGTTTATGGCTGAAATGACCAAAAATCAGGAATTTGTCAGCTGAATGAAGGTTTCTGGAAGGCTGATACACTGCTGTAAGAGTCTGAAGATATGGAGGGGAGATCCTGTGACTGATTGGTAGGAAAGACATCAGACTTTAAAATGGCTCCTTTTGTGCACTCGTAGCCAATAAAGAAAGTTTAGTATAGGCAGGATTTGGTCTCTCTAGTCTTTGTAACTAGCCTAGAAGCTGTAATCTGCAATCTATATGCTGACACTGTTACCAAGCAGCTGATCACTTGCTTGATGCAATGTTAGTTTCTACAAAGCCATATTTTTTGTTATCAGAAGCAGTGGGGTAGCCGTGTGGTTAAAGCGTCCAGTCGTCATTTGTTATAAAGGTGTTTATCCATGGAATTGTCTCCCTTTTTCATCATACCAACTTGTGAATGTGACTTACGTAACTTACTCAGTGTTACGGAAACAAGTTTACAAGATGTGGCAGGTTAGTGAACTTCCCGCCAAGTAACAATGTATAATCAACAAACCAGGATGTGAGGAATTATTTAATTATGTACTGTGTATGTGGGATTATTGAATAATGTAATGTGTATGTGGGATTATTTAATAATGTACTGGCTGCTCTGAAAATGTATGAATGCAAATAACAGAAATATGTCCTTATTTTGTTTCTTGTTGGACTGTACAAAAAGCTTCTTCATAGAACTATTGTGAGTATGTGTCTCTTGTATTGTTCACAATACTTTCCTACTAGCCAAACTTTCCAGATTGACCTAATTACCATTTCTTCAATATAATCTGATTTCTCATTTGTCTGAGTACTTGTTCGTTACCCTGTCTCAGTGATTTTAGCTTTACACTGCTAATATATCACAGCGGGGACACCAGAAATGGGCTCCACACATTGTACCCATATGGGGAATCGAACGTTACCCTGTCTCATGAACTGGCAGGGTCTTTATACTGTTGGTTATAGCGACTTATGCATGTTGGCTGTATCTGTTGACAGGTTATGGAGGAATGTGATGTGTAAACCTTAAAGGCACAATTTCACACATTTTTGAGAATATTTTGGGCTATATTATATGTATTAGGGCATATGCACTCACTTTAGCTTCCTATTAATGCAATAAAGGACTTATTATCCCTTACAACTTACCTGAAATCGATAATTAAAACTTCGAGGTGAACAGCTTCTCAACAGAGAACATTTTCCATATATGAAATGTAAACAATTGCTCCGCGGTGTTGTCGGTGATTGCCGAACTTGTTTCAATCACTGGTTGCGGCACCATTTTGTCTAGGACTGAGTTCTGTCTCCAAAGGAGTTATAGATTAATCGTAAAGAGCGCGCCAAGGGACATAACTCTATGGGGTTTGCTTGAAATAATGTTGGGGGCCGAAAGCGTGGGCTTCACACACGAAGAGTTCGACGCAATGTTGCATTCATTCATTTGAACCTTTTAACTTAATATTGTAATCTAAATGTGTAATTGTTTTGGGAATAAATTATATGGTAGCTTCCCTGAGGGCTGATAGTATTATTATGAGAAAATCATTGTCTATTTTTAGAGAAGTGTTGTGTGAAATAGTGCCTTTGAGGTATTGACGATGACATTTGAATGACCAGAGTTTTGTAGAAATTTGATCTTGTAGACAGCTATTGCTGCATGACAATGTTGTGGTAACTGTATAACATATTATATATATATTTGCTATATAGAGCCAGTTTTACCAGAAATATTGACTATTTTGTGTATGACTTTGTTTTTGATGATTTTATTGGGTGCTTTTTTATTTTATATTTGACTTCCTCATGTACTCTGTACATTGGTTATTAAGACATTATATTATTATTAAGACAACAACCTATCAAAATTCCTCTAAATGCAAGTTTGGGATAGATCAGTCTTCGATATCATGACCTCGTACAAATACGATCTCAAAATGTATCAGGAGATTATTTTTATATTTTCGGGTCACTTTTACACGGCAACAAGACATATATCATACATTTTTTCATTAAGAACTTCGTAAATTAAACGGATGGATAATTTTAGCACATACCATCAAAACTGACAAGATATGCAACCAAACATTTTGTGATATAAACATTCATTTTGATTCAGGTTGATGCTGGTGAAAGCAGCTTTCTACCAAACTTTCTACCAATTGAAAGGAGCATATCAAAGCATTGTCTGTATGCTGATAAAACAAATGCTCATTCTTTGAGCAAGCAAAAAATAAACAAAAATATAAACATTAATTTAAAAAATAAGGTAGATTTATATTTTAGTTATTAACTATGGATGCCAAGGCTGTAGCCAGTTATTTTTAGGTAATCTTTCATTGCCACCATATAATGCCAAAAAAATTCTTGGTTTCACTTGATGACTTATGTACTATTCAAAAGAAATCAAAGAACACTTGTCGTTTTCATCTTTTGCAGTTAATCTGTTAATACTATGACAGCTTAACAGCAAGAGGAAAGAATCAACGGTTCTTCAACTTCTTTTCACTAGTACATTTCACTGATGTATTATTGATAGCTTGTGTTGTTTCCTGGTTTATATCTTATATTCAACATAGCGACATCTAGCAGAGGTACAGTTAAGCTGCGTATCTGCGTAAATTACGCAAATAATTATGTGAAAACTCAATTCCTATTAAGTCTGTTGCGTACAAGTATGCTTTAATTTTTGTAAATACTCAATAAATTTTATCTTACATGCGTACACACAAAAATGTTAAGTCCTCGCTTGTGTAGCGGTGGATAGATAAAATAACTGAGGTATGTTGAGAGGTTCTATTTTAACACATGAACAGATATATTACAGATCAAATATAAATAACAATCACGTAAACCTACATTTAAACTTTATTATATTTTTACAATTTATGGAAACTGGCAATGAGTTTGAGTGAGATGGGTACAATTTGTTTGGTTACTCAAAGGAAAAGTAAGATACCCAATCGAGATGAACACAAGCGAGTACATAACTCAATGACCAAAAACATTATCTGTAGCTCTGTCTAGGTATATGTCATGTTGGGATATATGCTACTCAACTTTAGACAGGGATGAGTTATTTCTGAATCTTTACATTGTATGATGACATGTTTTGTTTACATATCTTAAGTGGGTTAGATTTGCACATGTTTATATACTTCAACATAGGTTTTTACTGACTAGTTCAAAATAACATCTATTTGAAGGTGAACCATTAGGAATGTTTTATAGTTAGTGGAGCATTTTAACTCTTGCAGTACTGAAAATACTCTCAAAAGTCATACTCCTGTCGTAAGTTGCATATCTGAAAATGGTCTATTCAGATTATCAACTATGTTGGGTTTTTTAGAAAACCTTTGTGATTACTTGTCAATTGCTGCAGTTTTAAAAATTTGAACTTCCTAATTAATTCCCCCCTTGGTAATAATTAAGTATCCTCAGACAATGATATTTAGTCTCTCACTTACTAAAACAAACTTTGTGACATGTAGATACCGACAGCATTTCATAAAATTCTCTGGTGCAGATGAATATACCGTCGGAGCGGCCTTATGAGTACGCACATTACTGATCTACTTTTGATGTGCTTAAATTGTCTTCCAACTAATACCAGTCTGTATTTTACACCAACATAGATATTCCAAACACTTCTAACAAATTATGTGGAATGTTTTTAGCATGTTTGTGGCTTGTCTGTGGATGCCAGTAGTTTGTAACCATTTAAAAAGATATAAAAGAAAATGAGCACTTCAGCATTTAAAAAATGAAAATAATTCTGATCTTGATATACCTCCCAAATTGTTGAGAATGTTTTGTTATAACCTGTTGTCTATACTAGCTGCTAACATTCTACAAATATTTTGATGTTCTAATATCTAATACACATTGTCATCCAAAGCTATGAATACTTATGTAAATATTCATTTGGGGTCCCATGCTGAACAACGAAACCATGGAATTGACTATTCCCAAATCTCAGTATTGAAGCTTCCATGTTTGTATTAACGCTCACGAAACAATGCAA